AGAAAGAAAAAGAAGCAGTATGACAACAACTATTCTCCGTAGCATAAATATATCAATTGATAAAACTTATGTTAACTAAAAATTGTTACTCTAATACAAATACACAAAATGTAGGCTAGATTTTGGTGAAGGGAAGGAAATTCAAAGTATGGTTTCAACTCCTAAATCACTTACTTATTTTCAAAAATTATTTTCTAATTTTATCTCCAGTGTCTTAAACGTATTCTAGTTCATATTTTCACAAATATACTACTTTTTAGGTTTTATTAAAGTAAATAAGGAAATATTAAAATGCTGTAGTCTAAAATAATATTTATTAGTATATAATTAATTACATAGTGTAGTCCCTCCTATCTACTGGAGCTTTCTGTTTTATTCTTTTGGTTCTGAATTGCTACTTCACCTTCACTTCCTACTATATTAATGTCAGGTAAACATATAATCCTGTTTCTGAGAAATATGTGTGGTAAGTAGAATTTCAACAGTGATATAGGAAGAGGTATGCCAGTATGCAGACATATCTCAAATGAAAATAAAGGAAAAGCATGGCATAAACTCTTTTCTATAGTCTTGTGGTTTGGAGTTCATAAACTTGGCCACAGGAATGGAAGCCGTGAAAAACATGTAACAGAACTAGAGGGCCTAGCGCACTCCAATGGAACCTCAAATGTGCTGAACTAACACGGTATAAATCATCAGGTGAATATAATTTACTGGGTCAAATTCACCTATACATCAGGTTCTGCATCCATGTAAACCACCACATTCAAAGAAAGAGACCAAAGAAATTTCCCAGATAAGGGCAAGTCTAGAGAGGCAAACTTTCTAAATAAAAATATTTTAATAGGCATATAATATTATATCCACTTTATACATATATTGTCTTACCCAGAAGTTAGCCTTTTCCCCTTAGAATTCCTAGTTGTGAGAGTGAAAAGTGTTAATAATGCTTAAGAGTAATCATGTATGTCTAGTTTTCCTAACATTATTCTATAATATTCATGCTTGCCTCCAACCGTGCAAAAGGGAATTCCTGAACACACACACACACACACACACACACACACACACACCCCACGAATAGTTTCTGAAAAATACTGTGGAGTCACATCTTTTGTTTCACGTGCTAAACTTCCTTAATAAGGCCAACAAAAAGCTTTCAGAGGTAGAATTTTATACTAGCAAATGTCAAAACAGACCTGTTAAATACAGTGAATAAACTTGCTACAGCAAGCATTCTACCGAAATTGACTAGGTGACTAGGTGTGGCTTTTATTCATTGTTCAGTCACACTGAACAGAATCTGTTCTCTAGCTACCATTTAGGTTGACATTCCTTTTATCTAGGGGCTTATAATAAGCAAACCACATTCAATTTTGCAAAGGTAGATGTGCTCTTCTGGTATCCTAGAAACAGACCGAAGTATGCTTTGTGGAAGGATCTGAAGTTCAATCCAGTGAAACAAATGGGTCTTAATGTGGAAGCACAGAAATACAAGGACTAGAAATATTTTAAACAAAAGCTTGACAATTCTAAGGACACGTATAGGATTATTAGTGAGTGGTGTGATTAAAAGATATACTGTACTGTGGTTGTTTAGGGGAGAGAGAGTACCAGGGTAATTAAGGAAAATATACATTAATTCTTTTTTTTATATTTTCTGTAATAATATCAGGGTCAGGACCCATAACAGAGACTTCTTCCAAATCAAACTGATAAATGCCACTTAAAATTGCTCACACTAGTTCAATTTTTTTTTTTTTTTTTTTTTTTTTGTCTTTTTGAGACAGGGTCTTGCTATGCAGTTCAGGCTGGCCTTGAGCTCACTTTGTAGCGCAGGCTGGTCTCGAACTCGGAACAATCCTCCTGCCTCCGCCTCCTGAGGGCTGGGATTACAGGCGTGCGCCACCACACCCAGCTGACAAGCTCAATTATAACACACCTACAAAGCAGCTTTCCAGGCCACAGAGGAGGAGCATATCAAGATCTTAGGGTTAGATTTCTGCATGCATAATTGCAGAAATTAATCTTTTATCAATTTATCACATCACAATAGCTATTGTTAAATAATCTATGAGACAGAGAAGCAATTTCTAGTTGTTCCTTGGGGTCTTCTAAGTAATGCCTTGTATCTTGTAACATGCCATAAAATAAACTGTACTCCTGTGAGTCATATTGGTCTTTTTCTACAGTCTGAAATCTGAAATTACTCCCCCTGAAGAAAGAAAAGGAAATTTATACTGTTAATGAAAGTATTTAGAATCGAGTCAGAAAGCACAAGTCAAGAGGCTAGAAAACTCAATGAATTTCTTATTGCATTCTAAAAAAACCACTCCCAGTGTGATCTGAGATGACCAATAATGCATGCAGGACTAAGACCTGGAATGGAGAGACTAGCAGAACCCAAATGGAAAGTGCATTCTTGACTTCTTTCTTCACTTCTGCTCTTGCATCATTAATATTCTTAAAAACAAAGAATATTTTGTTACTTATACACATTAACTACATTATGTAATTTCTATGCAGCTCAAGACAATTCCTCTTCCCTCAGCAGTCCCAGGCAAGACAGGTGTGCCGAACAAACAGGCTGTGGGTTAGCCGCGCCTGCTCGCTCTGACTCACCGAGACAGGGCATTTGGCTGGTGCCCTGAAGTTGGCACTTGAGCTTCGAATGAAAAGATATGTGCTCTAGCCCTGTAGGATAGGCTTGGCTCAGGTATTTGACAATAAAACATTGCTCCTATTTCTAGCTCCATTTGAAAGTGAGAGGCTGAGAGTAGCAATGGTGAGTGAAATGATCCCTTGTTATAATTACCTTTGGCTAACATCTCCTTACTCCCCAGCTCCAAGCCCTAACAACCACCCTTCTATTCTTTGTCTGTGTGAACTCAACTTTTTAAAAATTCTGCATATACATGAGACCATGCAGTATTTGTCTTTCTCTATCTGGCCTATTTCACTAAGCGTGAAGTTCTCCAGGTTAATCCACATTGTCTCATTTTACAATGTATACATATCTCAAATCATCACATTGTACACTTTAAATAGGTAGACTTTGTCAACTACACCTGAGGAAAGTGGGGAGAAATTAAAAGCTCCCTTGGTTTATTCCCCATGTGCTTACATTTTCTGTACTCACCAAGCACGTTCACGCCTCTCTCGTTTTATTCATATTATTCTCAGTATCTACAAGTCCGTTCTGCCATATTCCCTTACAGGTAGGGAGGAATTGTGATCCTCCAGCATGTGAAACCTCAGGAATTCAACAAGGAATATGCCCGTGCAAAGTATTACTGAAGGTCAAAGAGGACCTCTGACAAGCCCATTGGTAACTTGGAAACTAATTTATCAGTGTAATTAATCAGGACTGAGTTCCAATGCAAATGCTTTGGGCAAACTAGTAAAGAACAAGAAATCCATTCATTTTAAGTAAAACTGTCTAAACATTCTGGGAAAAGTGTATCATGCTGCAAAACTATAGTGACTTATCATTGCTCCCACCTGTGGTTGTATTTATGCACGTGGATATGCTGCTCGAAGAGGGCTGGCTCAACGAAGACTTCCTTGAATTCTTAGAATCAATTTTATAATGAGGTAGGCTTTGCTCTGAGCAAACTGTCCTACTCCCGTATTTATTTGCATCGCATCTAAGCACCATGTAAAACTTTTAGCTTTCATTGCGTTTATTACATAGTGATTGATGAAATGGCAACAAATAAAGTTAACATAGCTCTTTCAAATCCATCTTTTTAATAGTCTAAAAGAAGCAGGCTAGCTGCAATCAGAATGAGACATCACTCAGCTAAATTTGAGACAAGAAGAATGGCAGCAGAAAGCGGACAGTTTTCAATTCTCTCAGAGAAGGTTCAGACCAGAATGTAAGTTCACATTTCAAAGTATCATGGCAAGATGAATTCTCAATGGGCAATATTAACAGATATAACTTAATCGCTTTTCAAATGAGCCATTTAAACTCACAGATCTACAAAACTACTAGGCACTTGTCTAGAATGATACCATAAGCTCATGAGTTTCTGCAAATAGAAATTCTGCTGCAAGATTAAGGTACAATCACCATCAAATACCCAGCTGGTGTTCTTCAGTAATGCTAAGGTCATTGGAAATAGGGGACAACTGAGAAACAGTCAGAGACCAAAGAAAGGGCAGCGAATTCAGATAAATGCATCCTGGTACCCTGGATTGCACACTGAATAGAAAAGTCATATTAAAGTCATATTAATAGAAAACCTGGTGAAGTCTGAGTAAACTAAAGTTAATAGCAATATGTGAACATCTTGGTTCTGATAAATCCTAAATAAGTCACTGTTAACTGTAAAGGAGGTCTGTGGGTATAGATCCTCTGTAGAGCATTTTCCTAGCGCATGGAAGGCCGATGCCCAGCACTGCAAAAGTAAAAACAAAACCAAGCAAACAACAGTGGGCGGGTGAGGAGTAATATGAGAACTCTGTACAGCTTTTGGAATTTTTCTAATAAATTCTTATTTTAAAATAAAAAGTTTAGTAAAAAGCAACAACACAACTATCAAATAGCAGAGAATTTTATTCAAATTAATGTCCTGAAATCCAATCTCTTCCATATAATCATTAAACCTTCTCGTCATCTTAAAATGCTCCTGCTCCTTTATTAATATTCTTCCAGAAACTGAACTCATGCATAAATGTAACCAGGTTTTCAATCCAGCATACCTGATTGCTGCCTTCACAAGCACAGCTCTGAAGTGTCAATTAACATATGAGCTGTGTCCTAAATCCTGTAGTAACTAACTTCCCCAAAGCTCTGCAAGGTTATTCCAATGTAGATAAATACGCTTTTAATAAAAGACACCGGCCTCGGGGTACAGTTCCTTGGTGGTGCACTTGCCTAGCATGTGCGAGGCCCTTGGTTGGGTCCCCAGTACCACAAAAGCAAAACAGAACAAAATACCACCCCCCGCCCCGAGAACACATTGGCAATTTTCAAAGACAGGACTGTGACTTACAAAGGATGACATTTGAGCGTTTTGGAGCATAAACTGCATCTGCTGGGTGAACATGGCTGCGGCAGTCTTCTGTTGAATCAGATTGTTACGTCCATTAATTTCCAGCTGTGTTTTTAAGTGTGGAGGGGGGTGAAGGTACTTGCAGTTCTCTCGAGTACAGCGACCCTAATAGTGAAAAATAAGCCAAATTTGCATTTAGGGTTTCTAGAAATCAGAGACGATTAAGAACATAAGAACTTCCTTATTACGCTCATGTCATGGGCCCAGAACTGTCATAAGCCCTTTATATGAACTAGTTCATTTAATCGCCTGGAACAACCCTATGAAATTGATATTCTTATAACCTTCATGCAAGTGAGGAAACTGAGACTAAATGAGGCAAAGAAACTTGCCTATGGACACACAGCTAAAGACTGACAAAATTAGAGCAAACACCCAGTTAATCTTATTCCAGACTGCCTCTTTGCCACTCTGCTGTACTTTGATAGGCCCCAAATTTACATTCACAACACAAAATATTAGGAACAATATACCATAAAATTTAAATAAAAATTACAAAATTGAAAAAAATCAATATGAGCCATAAATCCGTGCATATTTAAATTAAATAAGACTCAGAATTTGAGCCAACATGTACAATTAACCACTTACTAGTGCAATTACTGAAATATAGGATGACCAAAAATTGTACTTTTTACCTTAATTTTTATAAAATAACAGGAAATATAAAAATGATAATTTTATCAAATCTATTCAGTACAAGAATTGCCTGGTTGAAATGACACCTGCCTGAGTTACACTCGGGACAGGTACTCAAGTTATATATGCTGATTTCCGTTAATTGGAACAATCTAGGTTTCAAAGCTCTTTTACCCAACCTATAGAATGTGAGACACATCCTGAGATCCACTGACATGTGCTAATCAAGAATGAATTCCTACATCTGGCAGCCAAGTTGTTTTTGAGGTTCCAGAAGCAATGATCTTCAGGTACTTGGATAGTGGAGACCAAGTATAGGATCTTCAGAACTTTGAATGTTTTATTGATGGTTTACGTACTTTCAACATGGTAGAATAATATGTCAGTTCCTTGAACTCAAACATATCCTTGGTGTCACCTAAATGCTGAAATGGTGGCTGATTATGGTATTTATTATAAGGTAGCAAACAATGTCACTGGACTAGTTGTTTATCATATTATCAAGTCATCTCATAGTATGTTCAACTCATGAGCACTACACACAGCAGCTAATTATGATCTCATTCAGATGATTAGGTCCGCCAAAACCCTTTTAAAGCAACTGCAAGCCATTGTTCCCTCACAGATGCTAAGATTCTTTGCAGTGTTGTTTGAGGTTATCGGGGAAAAGAGAAAGAAAAAAGGCAACTCAAAAAAAAAAAAAAAAAGAATAAAGGCAACTCTTTTTTTTCTTTAGTCATGAGTGAAAATTGCTATACCACCTAAATTCTCAAGAGGAAGATGAGCTAGCTCACCAAGTGTTTTTATCCAACACATGCTATGCATTTTCTTTACTTATGATGCCTAAATGGTTTATATATCCACATCTCCATATTCAGCTGTCTGGTTATGAAAGCACTCCTCTAGTTTCACTGAGAACCCAAAAGTACTGCAACTGCTCTGTTCTATGGGAGAAGCATCTTAAATAATTTAAAAATACTTTTTAAAATTGAACTTTTTCATGACATAATTGAACATATTTATGGAATACAATGTGGATATTTCCATTCATGTATACACCGCGTAATGATCAGATCAGAGTAATTGGTTTATTACCTTACAATTTTGTCAATTTTTGTGCTGGGAACATTCAAAATCTTCTCTGCTTAGCTATATTGAATTATACAATTAATTGTTGTCCATCATAATCACCCTACTGTGCTACAGAACATTAAAATTATGCCTCCTATCCAACTGCACTCAGGAGGTTCTACTGCTTTACCTCCCCTGGTAAGAACCTGAGTGTAGCCTAAAATTTAGTCTGAGAAATTAAGATACACTATCACTTTTCTCTTGAGTTTGTGTATTTTTCTCTCATTTATGTATTCACTCATTCACTCATTTATTTTTGTGGGACTGGGGATTGAATCCAGTTATAGCTCAATGGGATGCTTTACCACTGGACTACAACTACAGCCCCTTTAATTTATTTATTTTTTATTTTGAGACAGGGTCTCATTAAGTTGCCCGGCTGGAACCTATGCTTGCCATCCTTCTTCCTCACTCTCCCAAAGTGCTGGGACTGCAGGCATACACCACCACAACTGTCTTCAATTTATTATTACTTAAATTAAAAATCATTGACAAAACTGAATATTTTGATGTACATTTATGTGTTTGTAAATCCTTAAAAATTAATTTATAGGTAACAATCATTGTGAATGGTATTAATCTGAACCTCCTGAATTCATATAGTAACCTAGAAATAGTTATATAATTCCAGGACATTTAAGGAAATCAGTATGTGCAAAAAAAAATCACAAAAATGGGAGTCTTGTGCCCATGAATGTATATCTACTGGAGACATAAGCTGTATGTCACATCTGTCCTATCTTGTACAATGACAGACTGTCACAGGGATTTCAATGCCTAGATCCCCAACCCTCCATTCACATAACGGAAGGTATCTGGCTTAAAATTCATTGACCCAGAGGAGGCATGGCACATGGTGACTTCTACCACCAGGCATGCTAATGTATACTTCTACTCTAGGCTTCCTCCTCTTCCTCCCACACCATAACATTAAAGATTTCCCCAAGGCTCAAGTTTAAATCCTTTGCTCTCTTCTCTCATCTCTTTCCCCTGGAGAAATGAAGCTGTTTAAAAGTTTCATCCAGCCCTGTATTTGTCTACATCTTAAATCTCTATCTCTATCCTGACCTCTCTTCTGAATTTCAGTCCTTTTCATGACCAGTTGCAGCTGCAGTGGGAGATTTTTCCCATGGACCAGGTCTGAATACCTACTGCTGACCTTCCTTCTCCTCTGCCTATTTTTCATTTTGCTACATATTCACACTCAGGGCCACTGCACCAATCCCCATGCTTTGGGGCAATTACAAGCAGCAATGAGAAAAGAAGTTAGCTAGTTACTGAGCAGGATTGAAAAGGCATCTAGATACCTTTGTTGAAAATATTAGTGCACCCCACTATAGAAGGCAAATTGTACCCCTCCCCCAAAAAACAAACAACAAACTAAAACTTCCCCTGTATAAGAATTGTTTCCAAACAAGAGATCAGGTTAAAAAAATAAAGAAAAATAAGAATTGGGAATTTACCATTTGTAATAATTTATAGAGTTTCAATGTCAGTTACATGAAAGCAATCCAAAAGAAAGAGGAGCGAGGGAGCAAGCATACTGTATTTGGCACACATTTTTTTATCCATTCCATGGGAAAAAATTGAACGTAACGTTTTGCTTTTATGTCACTCTCCCTTAAATATAGCAACTTTTCTTAGGCTTTTTCTTGGGAAACTAATGAGATTTTTACAAAGCAAAATCAGTACACAGGAATAGAAAAAAAAATACGCCTTACAAATTACATCAAGTTGGGCTATAACACTAAAGTATGGAATATGAAGTAGCATAGGATTTCAAGAAACTTATTCATCTTAGTTATGAGATTTTACTTGATTTATAAATCATTCCTTTTTGAATGACAGAATCCATAATTTAATTCTATAACAATGCAAATGTGGTGATGCTACCTTATCAGAAACTGCTGCTTATTTTAAAGAAAGCATATAAAATAAAAAATCTGCATTTTCTATCAAAACAATAGATGAAGAGACCAAGTAATTTAATATGTATGTCATCTATGGAATACAGCGTTACAAAGGAACATTAAGACCACAGTGCGTTTTCAAAATAACTTTAGAACACAATAATGTATTTATATGCACAACACTTGGTGATAATAAACCTCCACTAAAGAGGATACAGTCTTCAAGAGGCCCAAATCTAGTTATAGGCCAAGATATTTTAATTGGCATATCGGCGGGGGGGGG